GATAGAGGAGAGACAAAAGAAGAAAAGCAACAAGACACAACAAACAATCAAACACTGCTCAGGTTGATGTGGCTGGTGACTGCTCATCAGAGATGTAGATCTCCAGAGCCAGGGCAACCTGCAGAAAAGTACAGGGAGAAAGACAGGAAGGTGGCATATAGAAGCATAGGGAGAGAGAGGAGAGGAGAGGAGAGCAGAGCAGAGCAGGAGGGGAGGGGAAAGAAACTCAGAGCATCATGGGGCCCCCCAGCAGCCTAGGCCTATAGCAGCATAACTAAGGGAAGGCTCCGGGTCACCTGATCCAGCCCTAACTATAAGCTTTATCAAAAAGGAAAGTCTTAAGTCTAATTTTAAAGGTAGAGAGGGTGTCCGCCTCCTGAACTGAGACTGGGAGTTGGTTCCATAGGAGAGGAGCTTGATAGCTAAAGGCTCTGCCTCCCATTCTACTTCTGTGGACTCTAGGAACCACAAGTAAACCTGCACTCTGAGAGCGAAGTGCTCTGTTAGGATGATAAGGCTCTATGAGGTCTTTAAGATACGATGGAGCCTTGTCATTAAGGGCTTTGTATGTTAGGAGAAGGATTAGCTTGATAGCTAAAGGCTCTGCCTCCCATTCTGCTTCTCTAGGAACTTCTTTGCACTTATTAACTTATTATATTTGGGTTGAAATTGCAGCATTTGGCTAAATCTGGGTTTAAATAATGACTCTACGCAAAATAGCCATTTTTTTTCATCTTGACATAACTTGTAGTATGGCTACAACTAGAGAATAAGGTGCTGCATTGTTGTACCACAGAAAATTCCTCACACATCATGTTTGACCACCTTCACTGTGTGAAAATAACTTTGTGAGTAATGTTGTTGGATGCTTGCCAATATTGCATGTCTGTTTGCAAATGCAGCATGGTACAGGGAAAAGTTAATGTCCTTACCTGTGAAACTAAATCTGTTACAGTGGATGGGGTGTAGAGAAGGATTCCAAGTTTAGTAAGATGAGAAATATCGAGAGTGAATGAGCTCTGCTTGCCACCAGGTTATAATGACGAGTGTTTAGTCACAGAACAATTTGAGGAACAGGAGAGCGCATTACCTGAAGCATTATGATTTAGAAAGAACAATGGCGGCCTTCCTTCAATGCCCCCTGAACTTTGATATCAAAGAGCTGTGCACTAATTCAGACAAAGCCTTTCACAGACTGCAAACCATCAGCCGGATCACATATCTGCTGGGTTATCAATTACAGCTCTGCCTCCTGGATTAACTCGTATGCCATGAAAGGCTCATCCAGCACAGAATGGCAGGCACCCCCAGCTCCTGTCAACTGCTGCACACATCAGCATTTCACTCTGGGTTTTTCTCATGTCAGATACTGCAACATATACTGTACAACTGTGCTTCTACAATGGTTTTAACTTCAAGCAAGATCAAAAGCTTAGGCAGGCTCCATTCAGAGAAAGTATCACATATAGCTCATATCTCATGCATCTAGATTTGTTGGAACATACAGATACACACACATGAGATTGGGCACCCCTGTGCAAATTATATAATTTTTGAAGTTGAAAAAGTAAACCGCAAACGGATAATAGAAAATGATCTTATCTTGAAATATTACTTTTTATTTGGTGAACTAAAAAAACAAAAGGAAACATTTAACAGTAAGTGTGGCATGCACAAACGTTTGGCAATTAGGACATTTTTACACCTGAAAATCTTGCTAAATTCTATACATTTGATCTGGTTATTTTGTGTTTCACAATGCAGTTTTGTGGTGTGCTAAAGAACTTTGCATGACTTAACTACGTCTTGTTGTTGTCGCCTATGTGGGCTGCCTCTAATTATACTTGACACTGGTTGGTTTTTAGATGGATGAGCGTCTGACATCGGGTGTGTTGTTGGTGGGTAGCCTTTTCTGTTTGAAAAAGAAAATTAACATTCATTTCATTTTGAAGATATTGGTCCTTCTCATTGGTGAAAACAGCACTTTTTCTTGTGGCATCCCACATGTTCTTGTGGACTGCTGTTGTAGTTTCTTTTCCTTTAAGTGGCATTGTTCTCCCATCCTCTCTTATTCTCTCAGAAAAAAAGCAGTTTCTGCATTTTTATGCATTCTTCTGAATTGAATCTTTCTTTCTACTTCTGACAAATTTGAAATTAAATACCTCATCTCCTCTCCCCATGTGGTCCTCTCGCTCATTTTTAATTCTCCACTAGTTCTTTTCTTTTTCTGTTGTGTAGGCGATGATAGCCCACCTCAACTTTATATAATCTTTCCAAAGGTGTGAACCATCCCAAAAAGTGTTTTTACACTAGAAATGAACTGAACCATGATTCAGTTTGATCCAGGCTGAGACCACCTGTTTTGGTCAAAGCCTAGTCCTTTGGTCCAGTCTGTGGTCCAAGGCACCTTTCACACCTGCTATTTTGATTCAGACCAAACTGGAAAGTCAAAGTCTGGACCAAACAAGGTAGGTGTAAAAGCACCCCAAGTCAGTAGTTTGTGGTCAGACAGATATTTCAACTTGTAAACAGTTTTTGTAGTCACCCAAAAGTTTTTCACTTCATTAAATAATTTTCACATGCTGTTTTTTCATACCCTCTAAACAGAGACTGACACACTTAAATACAGTGGAAAAGCAAAGCAGGATGGCCTGTGTTAGCCTGTGAGATTATCCTGGGTGATAGTTAAGGGAAGCACAGGATTTACAGCTTCTTAGGTTCCAATAGTGGAAACACAGCTTACGGAACCATAGTCACTTGGTGAGATAGCTAAGTAAATCTGAGTGACATCTGTACAACTATGATAGGCAACGCTATTGTCATGTATGATCTGACCCATAGGGAGCATGTACAGGTTGAATAGCAGTAGTCCAAGAATCGAACCCTGGTGGAGTCCACATGTCATGGTGATCTGCTCAGATTTATAATTATCAATGGAATTGACATAGCTCTTGCCTTCAAGATACATTCTGAACTAACTGAGGAATGTATCTGATATTATCGCCCTCTTTTCCAGGATTTTATGGTCTATG